CCCCCCCCCCGACTTCCCAGAACCCATACACGGTATGGATTTTTAACAAACACTAAATGAAACATTTGTTATGTACGTTTCACCCCATTTTACTAATCTTTCTTGCCATAGTTGTTAAGTGAATCACTGCAGTTGTTAAGTTAGTAACGAGGTTGCAAAAGGTGATCACGTGACCCTGGGACACCGCAACCGTCATAAATATGAGTCAGTCGCCAAGTGTCTCAGTTTTGATCATGTGATCATAGGGATGATGCAACTGTTGTAAGTGTGAAAAATGGTCATAAGTAACTTTTTGCAGTGCCGTTGTAACTTGGAATGGTCACTAAAGAACTGTTGTAAGTCAAGGACCACCTGAAGTGGTATGCATTGAGTACTAATCTGTGAATGCCTCTGTTTGTGTTGCATAAGGGGCTGTGTTGTTGTGTTGCTGGTGTTGGCTCTCTTGTGTTTTGGAGCCCAATGTCTTCAGTATATAGGTAGCAAAAGCACAGACTTATATACCGCTTCATAGTGCTTTACAGCCTGCTCTAAGCAGTTTACAGAGTCAGCATATTGTCCCCCAAGAATCTGGGTCCTCATTTTACCCACCTCAGAAGGATGGAAGGCTGAGTCAACCTTGAGGTGGTCAAGATCGAACTGGTAGCAGTGGGCAGAATTAGGCTCCAATGCTGCATTCTAACCACTGCGCCGCCACGGCTCATCAAGATAGTCCTTGACTTACAACCGTCTGTTTAGTCACCATTCAAAGTTACAAATGGCACTGGAAAAGATGACTTATGACCATTTTTCACATGACTGTCACAGTGTCCCCATGATCACGTGATCAAAATTTGGGTACTTGTCACCTGGCATGTATTTATGGCAGTTGCGGTGTCCCGAAGTCATGTTTAACCTTCCCAGGTGGCTGCTGATGGGCAAAGTCAAGTGGGGAAAACCAGATTTGCTTAACAACCACATGGTTCACTTAACTGCAGTGATTCATGTAACACCTGTGATTTTTGGCTCTTGTGTGGTGATAAGTCAAGGACTACTTGTACTTAAACGGGCCTGTGACAGACACTAGGGATGTTCCTTTGCTGCCACCTGGTGGTCTTCTGGATCTTCTGCATCCCATGAGAAAAGTTCATCTTCCTTCCTAGGTCCTTACCACTTCCTATAGAGCAGGGATGTCAAACTTGTGGCCCGTGGCATCTGGTTTAGCAAAGGGAGGAGGGAAGGTCACGATATGTCATGTAATGAGTTCGACACTTCTGCTATAGAGGGATGATTGAGAGCATCCTGTCCTGTTGCATGACAGTCTGTTTTGGAAGCATTATTGTTTCAGAGAGGAAAGTGGTGCAGAGAGTGGTGAGGACAGCAGAAAAGATCATTGGTAGTTCACTTCCTTCTCTTCAGGACGCAGCACATAAGTGATGCTTGAGCAGGGTCCAGAGGATTGTCTGGGACATTAGGCATCCTCTTTATGATGTTTTCCTTTTGGAAGGAGTTTTCGTGATATCCAAAGCAGAACATCTAGATTCAGTCAGTTTTATTCTGTTAATCGTTCTCCCCGACAGGGAAATTTCTCCTTATTTTTAGTTGATTCTCTCTCCGTAGTTTCCATCCATTGCTTCTTGTCCTGCCTTCAGGTGCCTTGGAGAATAGGTTGACCCCAGGGGTGGGTTCCAGCAGTCTCTACTGACGGTTCGCTTGTGGATGCGCCGTGCATGCGCACGCTTTGCGTGCATGCGCAGAGCAATAAAAATTGCTCTGTGCATGTGCAGAAGCAAAAAACAAGCTGGTGGCGCTTACAGGAGGACCAGTTCAGGGGCGTGGCAGGCCTGGGTCGCTGCTGGTTCCAGTGGACCAGGCCACCAAACCACTACCAGTTTGGCCGAACTGATCTGAACTGGTAGGAACCCACCCCTGGTTGATCCCCTCTTCTTTGGGGGAGCTCCTGATTTGCACGTTGCTATCCTAAGATCTGAGTTCTCCAGTGAGAAAACATCAAAATAACTCTTCAACAGATGAACATAATTGGAAGGGAACTTGTAGGTTATCTAGTCCAACCCCGAACCCCTACCCTAGCAGGAGACCCTACACCATTTCTGACTGATAGCAATCCAGTCTCTTCTTGAAAGCTTTGACTATACGGTGTGGTCCTTAACCTGAGTTAAAATTCAGTAACTTGGATGGTGGTTGAAAAAGTTTGCTATATATTCACCGCAGGGGCCTTGGTCTTTTGATCTCTCTTTCCCTCCCTTCTGTTTTTTTTTAGGGAGCAGAAGGAATCCAATACTCAGTGCTACAACTCAAGGAGCCAGAGCAATGCCAGAGTCAGAGAAAGGAGGGGACGCCTGCTATCATCTATGCAGAAATGCCCACAGGCAATTGTTCGAAGAGCTGATATGTCCCAAGGGCTGATATACAATCCTTCAGTGCAATGTTTTTCAACCATGGAAGCCTGAAGATGGTTGGACCTCAATTCCCAGAATCCATACAATCCTTTAGAGCAGGGATGTTACTAGCAATAGCACATAGACTTATATACCTCTTCACGGTGCTTTTACAGCCCTTTCTAAGCCTGGTGACCCCAAATTTAAAGGAACGTCATCTTCAGGATCTCTCTGCTAAACCTTTTCAGCGATGGTCTCCACCTCTGGGACAACTTACCTTCAAAATTTGTCCACCCCTCCCTATAGCAATAGCACTTAGACTTATATACTGCTCCATAGCACTTTAACAGCCCTCTCTAAGCAGTTTACAGAGTCGGCATCTTGCTCCCAACAATCCGGGTCCTCATTTTACCCACCTCGGAAGGATGGAAGGCTGAGTCAACCTTGAGCCTGGTGGGATTCAAACTGCTGAACTGCAGCTAGCAGTTGTCACGTATAAACGTTCACTTTTAGGATGCAGCAAGCAATTCGGATTTCTTGGCCAGGTCTGTTGGAACTAATTACGTTTGATTTTTTTAAAAAATCCACATGAACTAAAAGACTGTTCCTACCCTGTTTGAAAAGGGGTTTGTTTGTACTCATGAGTAAGCGGCTTACCATTACTTGCTAAGGCTGGGTCAAAACAGTGTCATTGTAACTTTGAATGGCCACTAAATGAAGCAGTGTAAATTGTGGAGTATCTCTACAAGCAGGATGACATTATACCAGCAAACATCATTGGAATGAGAGAAAGCAGACAATCAACAGTGGAGGCAGGGAAGATCACCTGTAGGAATGTAAAATACAAAATGTATTTTTGGTCACATTTATAATATTTTTGTTTTGCAGAGTTTTTCTTCTATGTCTAAATAAATGTTAGTGGACCTGTCACTCAAGAAGTCACTCTGGTCCAGTTTACTCAAGAGTCATTTTGCTCTGGTCAACTTATCTTCTAGGGACAACATTGAGGATTGCAATCTCCATTTGCAATATTACTGTTGTGGCGCGAGGTCTGGGTCCCCCCCCCCCCCACACACCAGGTGCCGGTGGCTTGGGGCCCGCAAGTTGCAGCAAGCGCAGCTCGTGCTTAAAGAGGTGCAAGAGAAAGAGGTAGGAGATTAAGAAGAATAGGAAGTGAAAACAAAAGTATCCGGAGAGTCACTGAATAGCTCCTGTTAGGCCGAAGACTGAGGTTAATCTGGGGAGTCAGAAGAAGGAGCAGAAGAAGTGTCCTCAGATTTACCTCAGTCTCCAGGCAATTGGGCCGTAACAATACCCTATCAGTGACTCCCCCCACATCCCAACTCGGAGACATAGGCCGGTCCTGGAGTCCGGGGAAGGCTCTGATTGCAGTGGATTCGGTGAGTAATAATGACTGAGGCAACTGGTGCAAGCAACTAACTTTATTGTTAACAATTCTGAAAGAGAACAGGCAAAACAGAACAACGCGAGTCCATTTGACAGCTATGGTACAAATGCTGCCAGCTGACATTCCGCGGCCGTAGCAGCCACGGGGATGTAACACTGATGAGGTCTCTGTTTTGGAGGCAGAGAAAGGCCCAGGGCCATCTGACAATTATCAGCTGCCTTTGGAGTCAGATATCAGTGTGGCAGATGAACAGCTGGAGCCTGTTCCCAGTGTGTGCATGCACAGAGCTGCCAGGAGAAGGGAATAGTTAAGGAACAATGGTCGACTCGGGAGTAAAGCCACAGGTGGACAGTGAATGGCCCCTCCCATAGGGAATAAAAAGAAGTGACATGGGAGTTTGAAGGAGACAATTAGTCCAGTTCATTAGAGTAAAGATCTGTTCCTGATTTCTTGCCAAGTATTGTCTGCTACAGAGTGGCGTTTGGAAGATATCGGCCTGGCAGTTCTCCAAGCCTGAAAAAGGTCTGTAGTTGTGAAATCTCTTGAAAGACTGTTGGCCGGGACTTTGTTGGTGAGGAATTCACTTTAAACTAAATAAAAGGGGTTTTATTGGGCTGAGGACTCGGCTTTGTGCTTTTGGGAAGCCTAGGTCAGGACAATTACCTTGCTGTTAGGATACAAACTTTCCTTTGTGTTTCTGGTGTATATCAACAACATATACAGGAAGGAAAGAAAGACCTCAGGAATCCACGGCTGGTGCAGAATATTTATTACATTTATAACATCATGTTAAGAAATGACTTCTGTTTTTCTACCGCAACCATAAATTTACATTAAATTTACAAGGTGTTTTAAAAAAGGACAGGACCTCCAAGTACATTTCAATCTATGTGGTTGTAGGAAAGTAGCAATAGTACACATGTACCGCTTCACAGTGCTTCATAGCCCTCTCTAAGCAGTTTACAGAGTCAGCTTATTGCCCCCAACCATNAGGTGGGTGAAATGAGGACCCAGACTGTGGGGGCGATATGCTGACTCTGTAAACCGCTTAGAGAGGGCTGAAAGCCCTATGAAGTGGTATACAAGTCTAACTGCTATTGCTATTAACTGCTGTAAGTTGAGGACTACCTGTATTAACTGGCATCCCTGGAGATGCCAGGAGCCAGGAAAAAAATGGCTCTAATAAATCTATGCTTTGAGGAATATGGCTACCTGGGAGTTTTGATTCTTTTGAGGGTGTTATTTATAACCCTGACATTAACTTGATTCAAACTCAGTCATTATGACTGTAGGAAGGAGCAACAGATAAGCCTCCGTGTCATTTTGCAACTATTCAAAATGTTCCATTTAATAACAAAAATATTCTGCAAGGAGAGGGCTCGTCCAGAAATATTGCTTAAAAAGAACTCGTGAGAAAGACTTCTTCATTTACTCCTTACCTGTAGGCTCCATTCTTTCACCAGTAGCCCTAGAAAGAATTTAAAAAAAATAAATAGAAGTGGCACTATATGATAATCAATATGGCAAGAACCAGCTAAAATAGCATCCTCTTCCTGATTAAACTCCTTTCTGAATAAGCAGACTTGATAACATTTCCTACCTACTAGAGTAATAAATTTGAACTTTGGGTTTAGGGCCGTGTTGTAGGCCAATGCCATGTTCAATTCTGTGCTTACAGTTGCATCATAGAGGGAACCAGGGGTGGGCTTCAAAAAGTTTAGCAAGGGGTTCTCTGCCCGGTTGCTAAGTGGGCGTGGCCATGGTGGGCATGATCTAGTCAGCCTCCTGCACCATGGCGGCGGGGCGGGGGCGTTTTTGCCCTTCCTGTGCTCTGGAGGTTTTTCTCGAGCCTCTGGGAAGGCGAAAATGGCCTCCACAGGCTCCAGGCCCTCATTTCCAGCCTTCCCGAACTTCCAATAGGCCCATTTTTCACCCTCCCCAAGCCTCCACGCACGCCCTGCACTTGCCTGCATCCAAAACGGGCCACATGGGGCTCTTGGGAGGGGCAGGGTGGGCAGGGCCAGCCAGGAGTGGGGTTTGGGGGTTCTCCAAACTGCACAGAATCTTAGCTAGATGTTGTCCCGAACCTCTCCAGCAGCCCAACCATGGATGGGACCTCATATATTTTTGTGGAGAAGAGACATTTTCCCCATAATAATAGGTCACAGGGGGTTTAAAATAGGGTAGAGGAGTGTTTCTCAACCTTAACAACGTTAAAACATGTGGACTTCAGCTCCCAGAATTCCCATGCTAGCATGCTGTCTGAGGAATTCTGGGAGTTGAAGTCCACCCATCATAAAATTGCCGATGTTGAGAGATGCTGGCGTAGAGAGTTTAAATGCAGACTCTCTGCTCTAAGATCTGAATGGATAATGTTGGGAATAGCTGGAACTGGATTCCCATTTGATAGTATTTGCAACACTATAAATAATCCTTGAAGATAACTGCAAGGCCAAGGATAATGTAATGGTTAAAGGAATCATGGAACATAAGGTAGAATTGAAACTAGAATTTCGTTTGCTAGGTATACTAGATGGATAAGAAACATCAACATATAATATTACACATACTAACCACCGCCAGGATCGCCTTTGCACAAAATTGGAAACAAAAAAACTACCCACCCCCCCAATCAAATGGCAATTAGATACTCAAATGTGCTGAAATGGACAGAATGACTATGGAGCTAAAAGAAAGAGAAGAGTCGGACTATTACAAAATTTGGAATAGACTGTACAAGGGGCTAGAGAATAGAAGCCAAAACAAGGAATAAAAGTTGTAAAAATTGATGATTATAATATGAAGAAAAATGTATGTACTGTATGTAAAATATGATTATATGTATTATACTGTTAGATTACAATATAATTATTACATTAGTATTAAAATTGCTAAAATCTACGAGAAGGGAATAACTGAATAGTAAACTCCAAAAGCAGGATATGTATGCTGATACAGAAAGCTGTAAAATTATATTATATTGTTATGTTGTTTGTGTTTTTATCTGTTTGTATTTGTGTTTGTATTTTTTCTTGTTTTTTTCTTTTCCCTTTTTCTTTTTTGTTATTTGTGGTTTTTATAAACTTGAAAATGTTCAATAAAAACTATTTTTTTTTAAAAAAAAAAGTAAAATCAGGGGGTGGAATTCAGCCGGTTCTGACTGGTTAGGGCAAACCTGTAGTTTCAGTGAGCATTTGGCCCCGCCCACCTGCCCCTGCGCTTTCCTGTCCTATATTTCCCTGTTTTTTAGCTCGGCTGATTTGCGCGGCACAGCGGATTGCGGGGCATCAGCTTTTTACTCAGAGGCGCTGACATAGAAAGTAAATTTTACAATAAAATACAATAACAGAGTTGGAAGGGACCTTGGAGGTCTTCTAGTCCAACCCTCTGTCTAGGCAGGAAACCCTATACCATTTCAGATAAATGGCTATCCAACATCTTCTTAAAGACTTCCAGTGTTGGGGCATTCACAACTTCTGGAGGCAAGCTGTTCCACTGATTAATTGTTCCAACTGTCANTGTAGGAAAGTAGCAATAGTACACATGTACCGCTTCACAGTGCTTCATAGCCCTCTCTAAGCAGTTTACAGAGTCAGCTTATTG